GCGTAGCCTTCATTCTACTACGCTACGCAAAGGTTACGAAGTCGCTTAGCTCGACGTTAGGAGAGTCAAGGGGGAAGGCCATACCTACATAGAAGAACCGCTGTTCGCTGACTTTCTAAGGAAGGTCTAACCTTTAGCTCCCTACTGAAAAGGGGCACAAAGCCGCTTTGCACCACTGATAGACTACTAAAGATTCAATTCATTCAAAAGGCCCTACTTAGTTTCGCAAGCCTTTGTCATTGTCAGTCAACTAAGTAGGGCCTGAGGCCCCCTGCGAATCCGTAAATATGAGGAGCATGCCGCAACACAACAAAAGGATGGTCCCCTATGCATTTCATTCTTTCCGGAAGGGAAAAAAAACAAGTACCCCCATCATGGTGAACCTCTCCTTGTGATCGGGATGAGGTAGATGCCTCCCAGCTGGGGGGCGGATCGAATCGGAGTTTCCTTAGGTAGCCACCGACCTACAGTTATCCTTAAACTTCCGTGCTTGGTGGAGAAGAAGCGAACAAAGGTACGCTCGCTTGCTGTCTTGTTCTCTGCCGCGAACTGGGATCGCTCGCCAGCTAGGTCAGATTGGAGCAAGAATTTTTGAGAACATATTACCCATATTCGGGGACAGGGGGCGGAACGACCTCTCGATCTGCTTACTGCAGCCCAGGAATAAAAACGTCGTCTAGGCGTTCCTTGTTGCTACGATCTCCCCGACGCCTAGGACGTTGTCTGGGCCAAGAGCCATAGTTAATTGCTGTTTCCATTTGGTTGTTTTTTTCTTGTTGTTGATACCGGCAAGACCAGCCAGATGATGTCTGCTGGTTGGTAGTGAGAGGACTCGTAGTACCTGCATACCCAAAAGAAAAGGAGGCGCTGATTAAATTAAAAAACAATCATTTGATTTATTTTCTTTCTTACTCTCCCTTAGCAGCGGGAAAGGAGTCTATCTATCTGCCTAGCTTTGGTAGATTTCCCCCAACGCAATCCATAGAAATTCCACGAATCCCTTGGTGGATAAGTCCGACGACTCAGCAGCAGTGCGGAATGGAGTTTCTCGTCTGGTGGATCTGATCTTTAGGGGGCAATACATACCAAAAGGTGCTTTAGTGATCTTTGATGGTCTGAACAAGGAACTCTGTGTGGGGATCCATCTTGTTGTTATTCGCATTGTTCACCTTGGTCGGAAATCAGGGTGGTTGTTCTGCGCTTTCTATTTTAAGCAAGCAGCTTCATCCTTGATGATGGCCTATGGTGGTGATGAATTCGTTCATCCTGACAATGCGGTACCAGTTTCTCTCACTCGGTCCGTCTCATCATAGGCGTATGATTCTGAAGAAGGATGAGAAAGCGGACATGCTGGTGAAGTTTTATTAAAAAAGATTCTCTCTGTCAAAGATCATTACTTTGGCAAAGAAGGTTGATAAATCAACGTTTTCTAGTAGAATATCCCCACCCGATAATATTGACGAGGTGGTGGGGCTGGTTGGTTCGATTAAGGAGAACTTTAATCGACTTATCAGTCGCTATGCTCCCTGGATAAAACGTATACCCCTTGAACAAGGGTTACGGTTTGAACCAACCTGGAAAGCCTTGCCGACACACTCATTGACGAAAAGGGTGTGGGTTGAGAGAAGGAAACTTCCTTATCGTAAGATTCGGAACTTTCGCTCTTCATTCACATCGTTTTCTCATGAGTTGGGCGCTTTTCAATGGCTGTTGGTCGTTGGGCACTCACAGGGTACCCAATGGTCACATGGCTGCTTGTGGCCTCCCCGTATTCGTTACGCCTTTGATGTGAGGAATAAAACCTTCACACCCGAGGATTTTGATTCGTTTGAGCGCCGTATAGGGCCCTTTCTACCATCCTGCGACGATATGGGCCGCAATCACAGGCAAACTAGGTTGCACGTGTGAGGGTGCTGGCAAGCGTCGTATATTCGCAATAGGAAACTATGTGAATCAGAGGTTGCTGACTGGATTTTACACATAAGGAGCAACCCCAGCCTACTCTCCGCCTTCTACGCTCCTCTGAGGGGGCCTCTCTGAGATATACGGTTTATGCCGCCATGCTTTCTTTCTGTTGGTCAACAACCAACCACATCTCTATATAGTCAAAACACTAGTCCTACTGGCTTGACGGAGTTCAGTCTGTCTGGAGGGAATCATTTCTTCTCAATGCCATGATACTTTCTGTTTTGTCGAGCCCTGCTTTGGTCTCTGGTTTGATGGTTGCACGTGCTAAAAATCCGGTACATTCCGTTTTGTTTCCCATCCCAGTCTTTCGCGACACTTCAGGTTTACTTCTTTTGTTAGGTCTCGACTTCTCCGCTATGATCTTCCCAGTAGTTCATATAGGAGCTATAGCCGTATCATTCCTATTCGTTGTTATGATGTTCCATATTCAAATAGCGGAGATTCACGAAGAAGTATTGCGCTATTTACCAGTGAGTGGTATTATTGGACTGATCCTTTGGTGGGAAATGTTCTTCATTTTAGATAATGAAACCATTCCATTACTACCAACCCAAAGAAATACGACCTCTCTGAGATATACGGTTTATGCCGGAAAGGTACGAAGTTGGACTAATTTGGAAACATTGGGCAATTTACTTTATACCTACTATTTCGTCTGGTTTTTGGTTCCTAGTCTAATTTTATTAGTTGCCATGATTGGGGCTATAGTACTGACTATGCATAGGACTACTCAGGTAAAAAGACAGGATGTTTTCCGACGAAATGCTATTGATTTTAGGAGGACTATAATGAGGAGGACGACAGACCCACTCACGATCGACTAAAAGGAAAGTCGCCCGGAGATATTGGTTCAAATCCAATTCGTGAGAAGAATCCAAGTGAGATACTAATAAAGTCAAGTATAAAGGGCTTTTGCAAGAATAGTCATAGGGCTCGTTCTTTCACTTTAAACTGACACAAATTTCCTATCCCGGCAGCTTTCTCGTAAAATTAAATTAGGGCATAATAAGAAAAGCCGAAGCAAAGCATTCAAAAATATGGCTGGTAACAAATACGACTTCGCCCACTGCAACGAATAGAACAATAAGACGATAGGGGTATGCGACTAGACCTGCAAGCCTCTTTTTGTCTTGTTCTGAGGGAAAAGAGTTCATAATAGGCCAGCCAGGACTAGTGTGATCCTAACCGGTCTTCTTCTTACTTACACTATTACACCACTTTTTTTTTCCGGGATTGATGTCCGCTTGGAAGAGTGAGGGTTTAGGCTTTCCAGGAAGAGATGAGACCAAATCCTTCTCACTTGAGAGATGCGAAGAAGGAACTGTTTTCAGGACAAAGACTCGGGTTGTGAGGAAGTTAATAATTTAGGGAACGGTCCGACCTAAGCCACAGTTTGACAAGCTCAGTTTACAATGAAAATAAATGCAAGAAGAAGAAGGACGACAACGGAATGGGATTACGCATCTTCATAGGAACTCTTAAACTTCGATCGCAAATAGCCTATGTGCGCGGGACTGGTAGCGAGCTACCAGTGATAAATAGCTGAGAAAGGAAGCATCATTGGCTAAACCCACGAGCCAGAGACGGAATTCCCAAGTCGAATGGAAAATCACCCATTTCTGTACCGGTTCCACCGACCTCTTTTCTACTACGGTAAACTTCACTCTAAGCTAATCCAGTTCTCTGCCTAAAGGTTCACTTGAACCTACCAAGCCCAGCACTTGCCCGCTTGACGGTCGGAGCGCTCTTTTATGAAGGAGAAGCGCGTATATCTTTTATCTATGCTTGGCTGGTGGAATAGATCCTTGCATTTTTGAGAAATACTAAAAGCTGGCGATGACTTGTCAACTCAATCGAGATCGATCGCTTTCAAGTGAAAGATGTTTTAAATTCCCTCCCGAAATATAATTGGAAAGAAGACACTTAAAGTGCCTTTTCGCTAGTAAGATCCATACAAAAACAAGTGCGTCTCACTGTCACGGGAATAGACAGAGAGCGATTGGAAGCCTTATGCTCCGCCCGCGGTGCTAAACTCTAAACTAAAGCTCCGCGAGAATAGAGTTTCGTTTTTTCTATGGTCCGAAGAACGCTCAGAATCCGGATGAGTTGACTCAGGCACAGATCCATTTTCCCTCTGCCTCGGCGTCACTCCAATAGCCGATGTCATCATTAGGGCAAACGATTTATCTTTATTGCCTATCTCTCTAGAAAGGAGTAGTAATAGAAGGTTAGGTTTTCATTGGGTATGATATTTAGTGCCGATCCGGGATACTCCGAAGGGCGACTAGGTCAGTCCATTGAGGGAGGCAGAAAAGGCCAACTATTCGCCATCGGGAAGTAGATCGGTCTTTGGCTTTTACGGCCTATACACCAATGGTCCTTGATCTGCTCTTAGTTGTCTGCAAGGGTAGTTGAGTTCTCCCCTGTTGAGGTTGGTTAAAGAGCGTGCAAGAGTTTTTCCTCTTATTTGTTCTTAGCTAGGGGCAAGGCAGTTCATTCATTCATGGAAATCAGTGCATATTCTACTCTGTGTTATAAACTCTCTGTCTTTTCTGTCAACAAGGGCGATGCCCGACCGATCAACTGTCTGACTGCAGCTCAGTGCTAGAAAGAATCTTTCTCTAAAGAAGGACCGAAGGGACGATATTGAAATGAAATGCTTGCCCTTAGTTGGGTTGGGATTCGGGTAGCTATTCAAATAAGTTTCTTTCTGACGCGCTGCTAGCTTCCTCGATGTTGTATATCCATACCCCGTTTGGGTCGGTACTTTGGTCTTTACATCCCCCACATGATTGGAGATGGAAGGATTGCCTCCCCCTTCTAGAGAGTGACGGCTTATTCATCGTTAATTGACGGACGAGATGGCTATCACCCATGTTAAATAAAAGAAAAGGATGGATTGACGACTACCGAATACTTGACATTAGAATAGATTGCTATAGTTTATAAATAATATCATCCTATATATAGGATGATATGAGGTGGTACTTTTCCCTTTCATCTTTCTATAGCAAAGAGCAGATATCGATCGTATGCATCCTATCTTATGTTGAAATTCCATTTTAGAGAATGGGCTATATGTCACTTCTAGTAGTCAAAGGGTAAGGTTTGGAACCCTAAGAGCAGATTCCATAGATGCCTAAGAGCGGTAATTCCGCATCTGAAAACAAGCCATTCTAGAACAACCGAGGGCATGTCCCCTGGCGGATGAGAGAGCAGCTCCTTCTGTGCATCTTCCTTATTTAGCTGCGGGAACGAGTGCTGTGCTTGCCCCGACCGATACCACCATTCATTACCGTGAACCAGCCCCTCTTATAGGCAGGTCTTTCTTCTTTAAAGCCTGGAGCTGGTGTATGAGTTTATTAGCCCCTTTTTTCCTATTTCTTATAGTAAGGAAGTTGAGATGAGAAAGTCAGCGTGCAGGTTATAGAGAGAGCTCCCACGGGATAGAATAGTGAAGTTTACTTTTGCCCGTAAGAAAGTGAGAACCCTATAAACCCTTCTGACGAATAAGCAACTAGCTAACCCTTGATAGAGTCACTTTCTCTTTTTCTTTATTCCGAGTGTCAACACAACAAGAAAAGAATGAAGATTGGCCCTTTAAGACTAGGGCTAGGGTTAGTCTTAAAGAAGTTCTAATTTAGATCATTTAAAAACACTGGGGTTCTAATAAAACATAAAAGAAATGATTTCTTAAACTTGTCTTACAGCCTAATCTTAATTCTCCCAATCGTATAACAAAGGCAGCCAACTTCAAGTCTTAATTGGTTTCAAAGTCCCTGCGGATAAGCTACCAAAGCTTTTACCAACGATAAAGGGACGAGAAATAAAGTATTTAAGATTTCTTTCTTGTTTTTTCCTTTTGTCCCGGAATAATAGAATATGCCTTCGCGGTGCGGTATGAGTGGACATGGGCTAATCCCTGGGTCTGGGTGGTATGGCGAAAGCAGTGGGAGAGTCCGAATATTATGTTGGTTGTAGGATTAGAAGCAGCTAAAGAATCCGCATCTGTTGAAGTAATGTCTGAAATAATAATGTCATATGTAGTTGCTCTATCAGTCTCGGCCAACGCGTAAAGCCAGTTAATGATTCATGAATGGAGGATGCCAAGCAAAGATAGAATCCTATTAGTCTGGACTACAATGATCTAAAGTAGCTATCGTACTTAGAGTTAGGAGCGAAAGTAGCCAAGAGAGAGCCCCAAGGGGAGAAGTCAATAAGACGATAGGGGTATGCGACTAGACCTGCAAGCCTCTTTTTGTCTTGTTCTGAGGGAAAAGAGTTCATCATAGGCCAGCCAGGACTAGTGTGATCCTAACCGGTCTTCTCATTACTTACACTATTACACCACTTTTTTTTTCCGGGATTAATGTCCGCTTGGATGAGTGAGGGTTTAGGCTTTCCAGGAAGAGATGAGACCAAATCCTTCTCACTTGAGAGATGCGAAGAAGTAACTGTTTTCAGGACAAAGACTCGGGTTGTGAGGAAGTTAATAATTTAGGGA